TTGATCTAAAATCTAAATATTAATGCCTAATGGAACACTAACATTATGTGACATTGGGCTTTGTGGGCATCTTTAATATAATTTTTTTTTTTAACAATAATTTAACTTCTGCAAGGTATTAAAATCGGAAACTGTATAGTTATGTACATAAAATTAAAATGACATTGCTTATTGAGTACATTATATATTAATATATTATACATTAATTTTTAGCTATTAGTCTTAAGACCTTAACCTAGTCATGGTAGCCTTAAATAGCGGTCTGATGATTTAACAGAATTTATTATAGCAACATCTACTTTAAAAAATTGCATGTTTTCAATACAGAAGATATATTTCATTTCATTTTCTTGGCATTTATTTTCTTTGAAATAAGTTGGGGTGTAGATGTGACCCCATCTGTGTTCAATACACTTGCTATGACCCCTTTTTATTTTTAAAGTTAAAACACTTAATTAAACTGAAATGAAACGATATCGCCAGTGTTTCTCGAATTGTCTATACTATGCCCCTGTCATGTTTATAGAATGTTCTCAGTTTTTCAAAAGTTTTTTTTATTATATTGCCTTGCTACATAAATAACGGTCTGTTAAGGACAGCTGGTTGCACGTGCGTTGTTATGTTATCATAACAAACACCGGCGGGGCAACCGGACATAAATACGTAGACAACTGTTTTTATTTAAAATGTGCACAGTTGTACAAATTAAAAAAAAACCTAAAACAGTAATTTTTACAATGGTCTACACATATTATAAAGTAATATAATAATATTTAAAATCTATTAGGTGATATCTGTTGGGAATATGTTTTTACGTTTGTAGTATTTTTCAGTTACAAATCAGTCGTAGGAAGAAAACAACCGATACACATACCTATTATAAAGTACATACCTACTTTAAAAACAATTAAGCATAAAGAATATCGCCATGAACACAAGAATACACTTCGTAATTGCATTGCTGTTTCTAATGCATTTTTCAGCAACCATGGTAATTTGTATAAATCAACGAAACTAAAATTATAAATAAATTCTACGTCATTAATCAACTGGCAATATTATCGCATATAACCGATGAGTGGCCGGCATGTGACTAAAACCAACATATGGCATGCGACACATCATTTAATATAAATTATTTTAAGGACACTACTGAACTGAGAATAAAATTCTAACCCAAAATTATGTGTCACATATCATATGTTGGTTTTGGTCACATGCCGGCCACTCAGTGGCCACTCGGTGGACGTGAGTGTGGCCAGATACCAAAAAAATCATGTTTTACATATCAATTAAGCAAGATTTTTTCTCCCAATTTCAAATCTGAAATTATTTTTTTCGTAAGACAATTTTTTAATGAGATACGAGTTCTTTTTTAAATATTTTTTAAATTAAAAAAAAAATGTAATACCATTTATTGTACCCATAGAGCAACCTGAATGTCTCATTTGAAGCTCGGTAGAACTTAACATTACATCCTGTATATAAGAAAATTTCGGAGTGCGCATCTTTCGGGTCTATTCAATACAAGTGTGCTACCGGTTTTTAATAACAAGACTTTAACTGTCTCGTAGGTACCTTCGAGTCGAGTAAATATTATAGGCAGGTATCCTGATAAGAGAGCCGCTGGTATTGTAATTTCAGTCATGAACTACTAATAATAACAGATATAAGACTGAAACGAACTCATCGTCGGCACTGTAGAACAGCCTCCTATCATACTTCAGTGTTTGTACCAATTTAGGCAAGTGACGTTGTGGCTATTTGAATATAAATTGAGTTTTAATCTTTACGCATCACATACTTTTTCTACTCACTCAACGCCGAATCACACAACACTGAGGCAAACACCTCTGACAAAAATATGGTATTTTAGATGTATGAGTTCGTTTGCTTGTGTCGTATACAAGTAATAGTGGTTGTATCCTTACCTTTTGATACATAATACTATCTTAAAAAAATAATAATCATAAAAATTAGCAATACAATCTGTATTGAAAAGTTTAACTAAGTACAACATATTTGAAGTTCGGGAGCCAATTTTATTAAATTGAAGTTTTGTATGTCTTGTCACATAATATGGTTTGAACCATCAATAATCTAAGTGTAATAATTTTAGGTGAATCAAAAAACAACATTCAATGAATCACTAAATAAAAATATTTTTAAAACAATTCCACATTAATTATTTTTCATTACATTTTACAATGATTACGATAAACAATATTTGCTATAGCCTATAACTTATCCAGCTATCAACTTTTTCAAAAAAATTAAACAAGTCTCTTTGTTTTTAATTTATCCGATCATTTTTAACGTGAAAACGTCTCAATAACAGTTTCCCCAGAAATGTTTAAGGGTTTCATATATTCACTTAAACCTAAAACGACTACTATGTATTATAAAATTCGTTATAAATTTATTTTATAATTTTTTGTCGTTTAACGAGAACGCTCACAAGAATATTTTCGAATAATGTTTTTGCTGAATTCTATTTTTTTTTCAGGTGATTTAACATAAGGTGTTAATAGTAATCTGTTAGTCTATGCATTCTGTTAGCATAGCTTTAGAGTTTAGAGGTACGAAAACTTATATGTTGTTTGATGTTAGTTTTAATTAAAGATTCTTCTTTGCATAACTGGTTTTTAAATTTTTCGAAACAATACTCTTCCATTATTTTAATTTGGGAAATGTGTTTTTTGTTTGTTTATAAAAAATTAAAAATACATAAAATCAGAGACTTAAATCAAATCTTTTCGTCTAATAACGGGAGTGGGTCAAGATTTATTTCTATTTTTTTTTTTTATTAAAAAACATTTTTTTCAGATTTTGGAAAAAAAAAATGTTATTTCCGTTTTCTTATTTAAAAAAAAATAAAATATGTCTTGGTAAATTTTGATTTTTTGCATATTTTGGGAGTAAACAGTAAGCAATGTTCCTTATGAATAACATTAAAAATAATACAGGAGCATAGTGTGGGCGCAGTGGACACCTCAGCTGCTACGCGGCATCTGAGGTTAAGCTGTGCTCGTTGCTGCTTGATCCAGGATGGGTGACCACTGGGATTTTTAGCGGCGACCCATGTCATGTCCCCACCACACGTCTCTATAAGCGTCTTCGAAAAATAGTGTTTTTTTAAATAAATTTTCGAATAATAATTAAAGCTACTAATTAAATTTAATTGTAATTTTTTTTTAAATCATGGATCAGATGTTAAAATACACATCTGATAAAAGCCACATCAAATTGTCTGAATTGAATATACTTAAAAATGTTTCTGAATACAGCACTAACTTTAAATAGCAATAACTTATGAACTATATAGTATTAAAAAGTGTTGAAAAGTTAAGTTTTTTACTGTTTTATATTAGACCCGCCCTCCCCCTTGAATCCATAACAGTTGAAATTATTTATTTTTCTAAAATTGGGTATCGTGTATGGACACTCTCCGTTTATTATAACATTTTATGAATATCAGTTTTTATAGAATAGTTATGTAATACTTTTGGCGAATTTTATATTGATTGGCAATACTATGGAATAATAATATTCGATGAGATAGTTGAATAAAGTTCTACAAAAATATGTGTGTATAAAATTGTACTTTCTTCAAATGTTGCGTGTTTACATAAAAAATATATCATAGTATACAAAAAATACTAACGTTTGTCGGTATGCTTTGATTAAACTTAGGTTGTGGTATTATTGAAAATGCGAGTACATTATTTGGTTTTTATTGTTTTTCCCGTTGTGACTAAAATGCCAAGGTAGTTGTTTTTCCAACAAAAAAAAACGTTCAAATCAACTCAACAAGTACGGCCTTTAAAAATTCTTAGTTTCGAGTACACAAAAATAGTATTTAATTTTCATGTATATTGTCAATTGTGTTGCGTTTGAAATATTTTCTTTTTCCTTTGTGCTACATCTAAAATAGCTCTATTGGAAGATTAAATCGTTCGAATCATATTATATGAATATATTCTTATTAAAGGTATCTAACTTAACCATTCTGTGATCAAATGACATAGTATATAATTTAACCATATCATATGGTACAAATTTATCAGTATCTCCATTCTTAAGATTACATAGACTTAATCTATGGGCCTCATGTGTAGGGTTTGGTAATGAGACCAAAGGACTGATGAAAAAATAATAATGAAATATTAGTAAATTATTCATATTATTTAAGGACATTTAATCAAAAATATCAATTAGTCAATATATTTTAATTTTGCCTCTTTGTAACGTAAATAAGATTAAAAATAGAACTTTTTGAAACAGGTAATTTCCAACTGTACGGTTTTGAAAAAATGTTTAATGATTTATTGAAATGATTATTAATTATTATTTAAAAATAATAATCAATTTCGGCCCTTTTAATATATCTACGCGCGGCACGTCCTAGTATATCAAATTTGCCAAACCCTACACTTAGGTCACGAATGATGATTTTAGTGTAAAAAAATTTTAATTGAAAAAAAAATTACTTATTATTTATATATAAAAAAATACCTTAATCATTTTTATCTTTTATAACCACATATTTTTGTACAGTCTTTTTTATTTATCTTATTTACATTTATTCTTATTTTTAGTCAGTTCGGTATAAAATTGTACTGTACTGCCAACTGATAAATAAGCAACTATGATCATATTTACTTAAACATTAGGCGCACTGTAGAATTACAATCTAGTTCAATTAATAAGTACCAAATCCATTAATTTTACTGGCTAATTGATATACATAAAACAAAATATTTGTTAGCTTAAATTTGAACAATAGAGGTAAATTCCCAAACAATTTACTGTTCTAAAGTATTTTAAATATTTGTTACTGCATTTAAAGCACCCTCACAGAACCATAGGAAATTTGTAACAATTTTTAAGAATGTAAGAAGGGAAAAATAATACTCAAACATAATATTACTCATTACCATTTATTTTATTACAAGGAAATAACATTGTTTCTTAAATTTAAATAACTACACCAAATAATAGTTTCACAAACGCACAATAACTTTTTTCGCAGAATAAAAAACAAAATATAAGACATGGTGGTGTACGTACTTTATACAACATACACCTCCATTTGTATTATTACAAAGAAGAACTTGATGTTAACATTGTTTCCTAAATTTTAATTACAACACCAATAATTAATTTCATCTTACACCGCAAAAACTATTTTGCTAAAAATCTATGCACCACATATAACTAGACCTAAATAATGAGAAAAATAGTTTTCAACTAGAAAAATGTATTTAAAGTAAACGATATTACAATTATGTTGTCGAGAAACCATTAGCAAATTCTTGGCGAACTAGCAAAATTATATTAACTAAATCTTGAATTATTACTAATCGACTTCTAGTTTCCTAAAGGAGCCTTCGATTGAGTTTTCAATATAATCTAAGTTGTTATTGGAACTTTTTGGGCGTTTACTATTATCTGCCACAATTGATGATTGAGTTATAAACCATTCTCGGTGCCTTATCAATTCATCATGCCAGTCATCTGCAATTAAAATATAAATATTATTCTACAAGTCAGATTATTACACATTGAATAATTAATGAAATTCAGGTATATTAGAACATATAGTGTATGAGTTTTAACTAGGTGTAATTTTTGTAAATTATATAAATAATTATTCATTTTTAACAAGCGGCTTTAACATATATAAATATTAATATTAAGAAAAAAACTTTACACTAAGAACTTACTGTATAAAACATATTTATGAATAATACTCAATGTGTCCTTCAAAACAGCTCAACATATATCCTTAAGAAAACTCAAATCTATGCTAGTGATTTCGTTTATATTTGATACCCAACTGTTAGTCAATGTGTTATGTTTGAACCTCTTTACCCCTAGACTTTGATGTAACTATTCTGACCATTTTTCGAATTTCTGCGTCCTAATTTCTTATCTAATCGCTCGTACATTGTGATCAGAATCATTGCCTAATATTGTTCAACATTCTTCGTTCGTATTCTTGGATTCGATCGATAAGTAGATGGCCGACGTTAATATTGAGCAAAGTAAGACATATATTTGGATGTTATAGGGACATCTTCTATAAAACACATAATATTCCCTAGCCCCTTAATTTTAGACTATGTTGATGAGGAGTCACACTACTTTACGAACGATTGTGTCCACTGTATCCAAAAAAGCTTGGTACAAGTGAGCTATCGGCGTTGTTTGAAGGGTGTAAACAAATTTTTGAAAAAAATATTGTTTAAGGATATTTAGCTTTTGGTCAATCAAGAATAAAAGCGAGGTGATCAATCGTCTTAGTCTTTTTCCAAGTCTATAAGGAACGCTATTTTGTCACAGATAGATTTTAGTGGCTCAACTTAAGGCCTGATACTATAGTAGCTACTCTGTTGTCTTTGACACCCGCCCGTTCCCATATTTATATTGTAATCAATATTATGAGTTAAATAACAAAATTTATATCGTTTTACTTATATTAAATGTAATTAAATATACAAACTATAGGTATTTATTTGTTAATTGTACATTATAATACTTTTAAAATACTACCGAGCGGATTCATTCTACTAATGATGTACTCTCCTAGATGCTTGATATCCTAAATTTAATCAATAAAAAGTAAAACTAAACAATTATTAGTAGACTAAGTGATCCACATGAAAATAGATAACGAGAAACTCATATTTAAATGATACAAAAAACCATGCGTAGCAATAGCACTTAAGATTACTTGACGGCTTTTCTATACAGAAAATATAATTTCTATATTTACTGGATTCCTACATAAAATTATAATAAATCTATTACAAATCCCTTCCTACAAGTTATCAATTAAAAATAAAACGGTACAATTTTTTGAAATAATTATGACTGGCTACCAACCTGTTATTTCGTCCGATGTCTTTGGAAAAGTTCCTCCATAGTTAAGTGGAAGAATACTAGGATCAATGTAATTTTTCAGTTCTTCTATGGATTTGTGATAATTCACCTTTAATATAAATATTTCATTGTAATATTTGTAAATAACTTTTAAATCATGAATGATTTACCCTGCAAGAAATTTTAGTACTCAGAAAACTTGTTACTATATTTAAAATTGGTTGCATGAAACTTTTTGTATTAATTAGGTGAGCTTCATGTAGCCGATATGGGTACGCCTAAACGAAATAATAATTATACATATATTAATTATATGATTCTACCCTTTCCAAAGAAATGAGTTTTTAATATATTGCATTTAATTTGTAGTTGTTTTTAGTTATGTTCCTAATAATTATGTTTGGATCTTGAATAACAGATATATCATCTACGACAATTAGAGTAATAACAATTTTAATATTAAATAAACACTTACAAGTGTACTTTCAAACATTTTCTTAATATTCGGCATACATGCTGTTACGTGACTCATGGAAAAATTGTTCAAATCAATAATGAATATATCCTTATTATAGATGTCCAACTTTGCTATTCTGAGATCATGTGCCATTAAACATAATTTAAAAAAATCATGACATACAAATGTATGGAGATCTTTATTTCTTAAATAACAGAGGCTTACTCTGTGGCCCTCGTGTGTAGGTTTTGGTAAGGGGACGAAAGAACTGAAAAAAATTAAGATTAAAATATTAGTAAATTAGTAATATTATTTAAGGACAATAAAAACAAAAATTGTATCAATTTATAGTTGTAATAGTCAGTATTTAATCTTGCTCATTTGTAATTTAAATAAATTAAAACATGTTTATTACAATTATTAACAGTTCTATAAATAGGGGCGACTAAGTATATATATATATATATATATATATATATAGATATGTAGATACTGACGATAGTTTCATTGATTGAATATTTTCTGGTAAAGACGGATCCCATTTAGACAAGTATTCTGGTACTAAGAGCTTTATAGTGTAATGCTGGTCCAACATTACTTTGGTTTTCTCCAAACTATTCTTGCACGTGATCAAAAACATTTTGATTCGCTTTTCATCAATTATCTTTCCATCATCTAATAAATAATATTATAGTTTGGTGTGGAATATTAATAGCATAATATTGTTACGAGAATAAATGTTTTTTTGAAAAAAATTATATCTAAAAATAAGTTATATTTTACCGTTTGGATTCGGAAGGTGAGGCTGTTTTCGCATCCATTCTTTGAGAAGTGTCACGTCAAGATCTATTTTTATCTGAGAAGTACCCAACTTGCTATAGATTTTACTGATTGTGCTCGGTGTTGGAAGTATTAACGAATTAGTTTCCATTGCTATTGAAGCACTGGTAATTTACACGAAATCTTTAAGCGATATTTGAAAACAAGCAAGTTAAAATTTTCTATTTATTGCATAAACAAACACGTTACTCGGTAGACTAAGAATGGTATAACTAGTATAACATAGACTATTTCTTTAACGACGCCACACTGGGGCAAAAGGCCTCCAAAACTGGCAAAAAAAATTCAGCAGTATGTAACATTACCTTATTATATAATTTTTGTTTATACGATAACACGGTCAAATAGGTCACGTTATTTTAGTACCGTAGTTAATTTATTGCTTGCGACCAAAATATATAGCTCTTTTTCCCGCTCCTTTCACCAGGTTATTAATATTATTCCTTTTTGTTTTTATTTTGAGATATTATTTAAAAAACATATTTTTAAACTATGGAACATTTGACGTCAGGTATTTAATATTTCATTAGCTATTTTTAGTTTGAGATGATTTATATAATAAAAAGATAGATCATATAAACATTTAAAAAAATTTAGTTATGTTCCCAAGTAGATCGCGTGCCGAATGTTTTTTTATTATTAATTATTATGAATGAGTTACAAAAGCAAAAAAAAAACATTTTGCTACTTTCTGCTACTTTGTTAGTTATGTCCACATTTTGTCCAAATTTGCTTAATAGTATCGTAATTAGGGGTTTTCGTAGCTTACGCATACATCTCATCATATGTTTCTATGTTTCTGTGTATACTTGTCATATTCTATTTAATATACTTGTTAATACTTATTTATGCTTACTAAATAATATCCCTAATAAATAGTTTAAATAAATAATAAAATAATATTAAAAAAATTAAATAAATAATAATTTGATTAGTTTATAAAAAGATTAGCATTTTATTATATTTTATTTTTTGTCAATTTTGGAGGCTTCTTGCCCCACTATGCGACGTTCCATTTTTTTAGAAGTTTTAATGTTAGAATAATTTTATGAGTTTTTTTTTGTTTTTACGTGAAATTTTTATTTTAATTATGGTTAAATAGTGATTATTTAATTTAAACTTAAAACGCGCAATATTAGACTATTTTTAGTAATATATAAAAAAAATCATAGTCGTTTTCTTAAAAATTCAACTAACAAACAAAATAATGAGTTTTTTTTCTTGGCTTAATGTACGTCAGTCATGACCTTCACCGCAACCACCGCGCCTCTCTTTGACTTTAGCTAATTCTTCACCGTTAAATGGCTTAGCATTTGCTATTAACGACAAGTAATATTAATATAAAGAGCTCATCTCTTTACAGTACTTAATTATGAAGTATTTCATTAGCACGTTGATTACTTCTTAAAAAAAGATCGCATGCATTCCCCGTAAAAGCAATATTATAGCTGGTATAAACTGAAGCTAAATTATTTTTACAAGGGTCGGATACCTACTATCTTGTTATCAGTTGACAGTATCACATAATTATTTTAAATAGTGCATTTTTTTAAGAATAATATTATCTATCTAAAAGCGTAATTATTTATAGGGGTGGCCATTTGGAAATCAAAAGATTGTGTCGACTTTTCAAGGAAGGGGGAAAACGGCTGTAATCATGGCAGACTTTCCTAAAATTAAAACATATAATATTTTATTTATTAATGAGCTGCTTATCATAAAACTCACTAAAACTAAAAAAAAATCAGATTAGTAAATATAAAAAAAAAACATAACAGAGATGAAGATATTAAATAGTGAGTATACTGAAAAATCCAAACAAATAAGCTAACAAAAAAGTTTGGAAGATTCTGCGACTGTTCAAATGAGATATTTGAAAATTAGCATGTTGAGTTGTATCACTTTTTAACTGGGTGTGTGATGTATATATATACATAAAATCGTTTTTAAATATTACATATAAGTAATACAAATTTTTCTTTAAAACTTGTAGGGTGAAGGAAGGTATTTTCGTGGCATAATCAATTTCGTGTTATAGTTTGTTGATCGTATCGCGTAATTCCCTATTAGAAAATTGTCTTGAAAATCACACTGAATCTTAAAACACAGTTATTTTAACAATCAGTGTAATTTTCAAGACAATTTTCTAATAAGGAATTACGCGATACGATCAACAAACTATATCACGAAATTGATTATGCCACGAAAATACCTTCCTTCACCCTAATTATAAAAACTAGAATACAAAAGAAAAACATATTACAATTTTATTTTTTACTAATTTATATTGTTGTTGTTACGATACATAATTTAATTATACCAAAAAACGTGCAGCTATAAAGTTATGAAATTCTAAATTATTCTTATTAGATTTTATTATTCATCAATGCAAAGTTATTACGATTATAAAAAATAACATTATATCATCTGTCAGACACTTACGTCAATAAAAAAAATATGCGCAACAAAATAAAAAACCCGAAATTGGTATGCAAAATGATAAAACAATGTCGTGGGTGCTTTAGAGTGTAATTAAAATGCATGAACTTTTATTCACTGTTCGTGAGAATTAAAATAATTAGTAATAAATGTAAAACTATATTGTAAGTGTAGGAAAAAAAACCTACGCAGTCCAACATTCAAATGGAACCCGCTAAGGCAGTTAATAACGGCAGAGATAACAATTACATTGAAGAATTATTACATCTTTACAATGTATTAGTCATGCCTAATTTGTCGATTAAAGGCTACTACTAATAGTTCTTAAAAAGAAAAATCATACTTATTAATCATTTGTGTTATAACGATATTCTTGTCTTCTAACAAAGCCAATTTTCTTACTGTGTAATATTATTGTTTTTTAAGCCTATATACCTGAATCTAGAAATAATTTAGAATTATCACACCATCATCATTATATTGGTTTTTATTTTTAATAAAACATTGTGTCTTGAAAAAAATAATATTTTTAAAAAATACATTATTATTGTTCCGTAACAAATACCTTCAACATTACTTATTGTAAGCAAAATGACTATGTTGGAAAACAAATTAAAATATCTATCTAACGTATTTATATTTATTATACATACAACATATTTATTTAATTTCCATTTTTTAATTTTTTTATATTTTGTAGTTATCACGTATTGTGTTCAGTTAAAATTGAAAAAAACATGTCAACAAACTTAATTTAACCGAGTGAAACACAAAAAAATCAAACAACATATTGCTAATACAAACGGTAAAGCATAAAAGTAATATTTTGACCATATAATTTTGTGCTAAATGAAAAATAATATAGGATAACAAGTTTTGTCAAAGTCACAGTTACAGATACAGGGTGGTTGGTTAAGTATGGCACAACTAGAATTAATTATGCTAACTGTTGTAATTAGCGTGATCCTTATTTTTCAGATCTGTAATTATTTCTATTCTTTTTAAATAGAAATAAATTCATTTAATTTTTTTTCGATGGACATGTAATTAATTATTATTATAACTTTTAATTGTACGTCTTTTATTATGACGTTAAAACTAGCAATAAATAGGTTAGAGCAAAGTCTGTAAATTGATGTATGCTTTCTACATAAAGCATCGCAACTAGGTCATAATAAGATTGTATTCATCCTCTTTAAAAGCCCAAGTAGTTAGAATAAAACCTTAGGTTTTTATTGAGCAGGTTAGGTGGGTTAAGTTTATCGTGTTTCGTTGCTTGTAAATTATGTGTGTAACTAAAATACTTCAACAGAAACCCGAATCAAAAGTCTGTACACCAATATCATACTCAAAAATGTATACAGTATTTATGATAAATGTAATGTATATGTATACAAGCTGTACTCAAGATGGACAAGCTGCAAAGAACTTAGAAAACTTCAGCCGCAGACATTACCTGAAGTACACAATTGTTTATACAATTTGCAATTGCATTTCAATTACACAATTAATTTTTATAAGACAATCGGGTACACAACTTCAGATGGCATAAATACATTTGTCAAACAAAAGAGACGATGACCGTGTACAAGTCTGCCATAAAATGAGCAGTATGAAATTGATTTAGTATTACATTTAGTTTGAATGTATAGAATATGTACGATAGTAATATTTTCTCTAATGTAATGTATAAAGGAGGAGTGGCCGAGTGGGTAAGGCGGCAGTGTGTTAATTTACATGATTAGTTTTTATTGCAATGTATAGAATGAAGATGGATTATGATAAATATTTGATAGAAATTGAATTAATGTAAAAAATAGTTGTGTACTTAAAAGTAGAATCAACGAATACCCTGATGTGTTTTTATTCTTGTGCCTGGAACCACGATATTTTCTAAGCCGCTGAACCGACTTCTTCTTATAGCAAGTCTATTGATCAGAAATCGTACCCAAAAGGAATCGTTTCTTAAGCGAGCCAAAAAATAAAGTGTTCACCCCTTTCCCTTAAAAATCGAGAAAACCATCCAAAGAGTTTTTTTAATTTTTCAACTTTCAATTACTGCGTTTTATAAATTTTTTTTTTTTAATAGTCGAAATAGTGTTTTTTGAAATATTCTTTAGAATTTGCTTTCTTTGCTTCCATTAAGCGTATACAAACCGAAAAAAATTCAAAATTCTGAGAGGCTGAAGTCCCTCGGCTCTCTTTCCGCCCTACGACTATGTGCGTAGAAGACTAGCATTAACCGTTTTGGCAATAATATTTACGCTTTTACAAAAACACCTAAAACAACTACAAATACGCTGTCGAATCGTGAATACTATTTGTTTTTAATTTTTGTCTTTCGCTATTTTGTGAAAATATAATATGTTATGACGGTGTTATTATGTTCTTCAATTCAAGACGTTGCTTACGGTAGACGAGTCGAAGAAGCCAAAGCTTAGTAAAGGTTTATTTGTGCGACCGAGTTGACTTTGGTAGTTCCTAAAATATTGAAAACTATAAGCTTATAGTCAGTTTAGAATAAATAATCGTTTCCGATGAATCACCGCGGTTTGCTGTTGTCGACATTGCTGTTATGCGTTTACACTCTGAACGTGTACGCGGCTTTTGAACCGGTTTGCAAAGGACAATCGCTTCAGGATGACTACGACGACTTTTGGTATACTTGGACCTGGGATACAACAATCCCAATCCGAGCACCAGTCAAAATCTAGCCAACACAGTGAAAGAGATCCAGAAAAATACACTGTGCGGAAT